GACCTGGAACCAATCAAATGCCCATAGATGATAGACTGGACAGGGAAAATGTGGCACATATACACCATGGAATATTATGCAGCAATCAAAAACGATGACTTCGTGTCCTTTGTAGGGACATGGATGAACCTGGAGAACATCATTCTCAGCAAACTGACACAAGAACAGAAAATGAAATATTGCATGTTCTCACTCATAGGCAGGTGTTGAACAATGAGAACACATGGACACAGGGAAGGGAGCACTACAGACAGGGGTCGGTTGGGGGGAATAGGGGAGGGACAGCGGGAGATGGGGAGTTGGGAAGAGATAGCATGGGGAGAAATGCCAGATGTCGGTGAAGGGGAGGAAGGCAGCAAATCACACTGCCATGTGTGTACCTATGCAACTATCTTGCATGTTCTTCACATATGTCCCAAAACCTAAAATGCAATTAAAAAAAAAGAATAAAGAAAAAGAAAAAAACAATTAGAAAAAACTCTCAGCAATTTAGGAATAGAAAGGAATCATCTTAAGATGATAAAGAGCCTTTACAAAAATATATATACATCTAATCTTATACTAAATAGTGAAAAAAAATTGAACCCTCTCTCACCAAGATCAAGAACAAGGTAAAGGTGTCTGTTTTCATCACTCTTATTTGATGTAGTATAAGAAGTTCTAGCCCCTGCAATAAGGTAAGAAAACTAAATAAAATGCATACAGATTGGAAATGAAGAAATAAAACTGTCCCTATTTGCAGATGCATAACTGACTATATAGAAAATACCAAGGAAACAACAAAAAAATCTAAAACTGGTAAGTGAGTTCATGAAGGCTGCGGAATACAGACCAACACACAAAAATAAATTGCGTTGCTACATACCACAAATGGATATTCTGAAACTAAGATTAAACATGATGTCATTAACTATCACTCCAAAGACAATGAAACACTTGGGTGTAAAATTGACAGTGTCTATAAGATCCGTATGCTGATAATCATAAAACGCTGAGGAAAGAAATCAAAAAATACCTGGATAAGGGAACCACATCATGTTTATGGATTGGAAGACTCACCATAGTAAAGGTGCCAATTCTTCCCAAATTAATCTATAAGGTTAATGCAATTACTATCAAAATTCCAGCAAAGTTTTTGTAGACATAGACAAAGTATTCTAAAATTTATATTGGAAGGCATGAACCTCAAATAACTTAGACAATCAAGAAAAAAACAGAATAAAGGAGTAATCACTTTCTTCAATATTAAGTCTTACTCTAAAGTGACAAAATTTGGTCATTGTGGTATTGGCGGGGAATTAATGCACAAATCAATGGAACAGAATAGAGAACATAGAAGTGGGCCACACAAAATATTTGTATCCATTTTTTAGAAGTGCCATAACGAAGCACCACAACAAGATGGCTTAAACCACGGGAATTTGTTTTCTCACAATTGTGGAGTCTGGATATCCAAGATCAAGGCGTCCACAGGATTGGTTTCTTTGGAGGACACTTCTTGGCCTATAGGTGGCTGTCTTCTCCTTGTGTGTCTGTTCTCAACCTTATTTACGATGACACCAGTCATATCAGATTAGGACCCACTCTAATGACCTCATATAACCTTAATTACCACCTTAAAGACGCTACCACCAAATATCACATTCTGAGATACTAGGGGTTAGGACTTTCAAAGGGGACACAATTAACAAGCCCAGCTGATTTTTGACAAAGGTACAAAAGCCACTCAGTGGAAGAAACAGAGCCTTTACGACAAACACTGCTGGAGAAATTAGACATCCAAATGAACATCTAAGTCTCACATCTTTTACAAAGCCAAACACAAAATAATAGATTGCAGACTTCATTGTTAAGCACAAAACCATGAACCTCTTAGAGAAAAACTGGAGTAAATCACTGGGATCTAGAGCTGGACAAAGAATTCTTAGATTTGACCCCAAAAGCACCAACTACAAAAAGAAAATTGATACAATGAGCCACATTGAAATTAAAAACTTACTCTTTACAAAAGACCCTGTTGGGAGGATGAAAAGACCTGGAGAATATATTTGCAAATCACATATCTTACAAAGGACTTATATCGAAATATAAAGAGCTTCAAAACTCGAGGAGGAAGAAGCAAATAATCAAATTAGAAAACGGACAAAAGACATGATCAAATATTTTACCAAAGAGGATGCACAGATGGAAAATAAACACACAAAAAGATGTTCAACATCAGAAATCACTAGGGACTTCGCAAATTAAAACTACCAAGAGCTATCACTACAAACCTATCAGATTGGCCTTTTACAATCTTTTAAAATGTGATGCAGAGAAATGGATCACTCATATATTGCTGACAGAAATACAAAATAGTACAGCCACTCTGGAAAACAGTTTGGCGGTTTCTTAACCAAGTTGATATGCAATTATCATATGATCTGTCATTGCACTCTTGGCTATTTACCACAGAGGAATGGAAACTTATCTTCACACAAAATCCTGTGCCTATGACTGCCCAAGTCCAAAGCCTGGGAGGTGGTTGGGTAATGTAGAAACTGACCAGTTCCAAAGGCAAGTGACAATGGATGACCAATGGAGAACCCCGTTTAGCAGGGAAGTGTGGGCATGACATTCATAGCATTTGTTTTCACGGACACCCCTCATTTCACAACACTGGACACCTTCTGAGCACCACTGCCTATCTGTATGTCTGGACCTCTTGGTCTAGTCACCGCTGCCTCAGCCTGTGACAAACTAGCAGGTTTCAATCTGCTTCAGGGATGTCACCTTCCTCTCCTGGACTCCACACCTCAGGCCTCTCTCACTTTCTGCCTCAGACCTTCCCTGATGCTAAGGAAGATGGGGACTCCTGCGGGGATCCACTGAACATTCACACAGGCACCGTTCCAAAGTGCAGGGGTGTTTATGCCCAGGGTCACCCTTGGCCTGTGGGAGGAGAGGAGCCAAAAGAGGAAAGACTCCCCACCTGAGCCCTGGGAGACAGTTCCAAAAGGCATTCCAAAAGGCTCTTCAGAAGATTCCAGCCAGTGGAGTACTGGTCCTCCCCCTTAGCTGTGAGCAACCCTGTCTTGCATCCTGAAAATGCCTCTCACTTTTTCTCTGCCCATTCCCCCAGTCCTACATTTGGCATCCCTGGAACACTTCCCAAATACACTGCCTTTTTTTCTTTTTTGTCCCTGCTGGGCTGACCCAAGATAAGACGGCTTACAAAGATTTAACAGTGGCTGCTGAGTACCACAGCCAAAGAAGTCTGCCCTGTTCCTCACTGCCTCTGAGTTGTGTGGGTCCCCTTTAAGCCGCTGATGCCAAAGTTAAGAAGTAACAAGGAGCAGGTCAGGCAGGGAGAGAGAGACTGGGTACTGAGTCCAGCCCAGGTGGAGCTAGTTCAGGCCAGAAACCAGGTCAGTGACCTGAGACATCAAGCCTAGATGGGGGAGGATGGGACACCACCTCCAAGGGGCCAGTTCAAGATCAGAGCCAGCAGGTGGGTGACAGGCAAGGCAACAGAATCAGGGGACTCACAGAGCACATTGCACAAGGCATAATCCAGGTGTAGCCAGTCCCTTCTCAAAGGTCTCTGACCCACCTGGCCCCACGCAAAAGCCTCCACTTGTTTTAAACGACTAGTGTCAGAAAAAAACCAGCATCTGGCATCCAGGGGATCTTAGGACAAAGGTAAAAAAATGCAGCCTTGAGAGCGCAGATGGCATTTTTGTCTTGCTGAAATACCTGGCTTTAAAAGAAGAGTATCCTCTGGGAGGTGACCAGCTGGCCTATAGGGGAGGTTGTGAACTGGCCTGAAGGTTCTGAGTTATTGGTGGTCACTCTAGAAACAGTGAGGCTCCTCACAAGGGCAGGAAGTTTAGTAGGGTGTGGTCCTTCTGATCCAAAAGGCTGAAAACTGATATTGGATGAGGGAGACACTTGTCCAGAAACTGCAGATATCTTGAAGGACAAGATGTCATACCAATTGAAGTAAGAGACTTGACAACGTGCTAGCAAATTTTAAAAAACAACGACCTAAGAAAAGCATAGGGTCAGGAATCTACATCACACAGCCTCGTACATCTACTTGTAACAGTGAGAGTGAGTTAAGTCCGAGATCATAATGCTATCCATCTGTCCATTCATCCACACTTACGTTCATCCATCCATCCACCTGTCCATAAGTCCAGGATCATAATGCTATCCATCTGTCCATCCATCCATACTTACGTTCATCCATCCATCCACCCATCCATTTGTCCATGCATTCATTCATTCATCTGCCTGTCCACACCCTCATTCATCCATCTATTCACCTACCCACTTATCCATTTATCCATATGTCCAACCACTTATCCATCCATCAGCCCATCCATCTGCCCATCCACCCATTTATCCATCTATCTATTCATTAATCCATCTACCCATTCACCTGTCCATCCACTCATTTATCCACCTATCTATCCATCCATTCATTCATCCATTCATCTGTCCATCCATCCATTAATTCATCTGTTCATTCATTTATCCATCTGTCTGTTGATCTACCTGTCCGTCCTTTCATTCATCTATCCATTCATTCATCCATCTGTCCATCCATTCATTCATTCATCTGTCCCTCCATTCCCTCAGTCACTCATTCATCCATCTGTTCATCCATCCACCTATTTGTCCATCTACCTGTTCTTTATTTCATTCATCTATTCATCTATCCGTCCATCCATCCATTCATGTATCCATCCACCTTTCCATCCGTTCCTTCATTTAGCAGACCTTTGCTGCATTCTGGGAGCCCACATGATGCCATACCCTGGAAGGTATCAATGACTATGACACAGTCCTTGCCCTTGAGCAGCTCATGGCCTCTCAAGGGAAGTGGGTGCCACATCCAGTGCCCCTGGCTAAGGAGGTACTCTTCCTTCTCCTCATATTGCACCCCATGCTTCCCCCATCAGAGTGTCACACCCCGCTGGGCTGTGAGCGGCATGATGAAAAAAGCTCACACTCACCCAGATGAACACCCATAGCACCATCCTCAGCGCTCTTCATAGATAACTCTCAGCAACTCGAAGAAGCAAGAACTGCACAGCTGAGGAAAATGAGATCCAGAGTGGCAGAGTGATTAGCCCAAAGTCACACAGGTAGTTCGATCCAGACACTCTGGCTCCAGAGCCTGTGCCCTGGCCTGTGACCTTCAATGTCTGGGAGGAAAGCTGGCTGGGATGCTGTGTTCACTGCAAAATCCCAGAAACTAGTGCAGTGCCCAGCTCCTCAAAAGGCTCAGCAGAGCAGTAAGCACAAGGTGCACAGCAGCACAGGGAAGGCTGTCCTGTGGGGTACCAGAAGGGAGGGGAGGGAAGGGAGAGAGGAGGGGGGAGAGAGAAAAGAGGAGGGGAAGAATGTATGACTTGAACAGAGGATCAGTGACATGAGATGCCACATGAGCAGGGCTGATTCTGAGGGGCTCCTATCCAGCAGGGGTGAGAAATCATTAACGCACTTGGGCAGTGAATGTGACAAAACCAGAGCAGGGCTCTGTGTGACACCGGCCGACATCACGGAGCCCAAGGCAGGGAGAGTGGTGAGGATGCTGCTTTAGGATCTGGGTGAGGCTGCGGGAGCAGGACGGAAGTGGGTGGCATCTGGGGAGAGGGGAGGGGAAGGAAGGCAGGGGAAATGTCCAGGCTTGTGATAATGAGTGTGTGATGGTACCCCCCAGCCCCCAAAATCGAAACAATCATTTCCTGAATGCGTACTATGTGGCAGGCCCAGGGCAGGGCCTGACATGGCATCTGGCTTTGCAATGGGAACAGCACTGCAAGTAGGGTTTTTCCTTCTCATTTTACTGAGGAGAAAACTGCCTGAGCTTCTGGAAGGTCCCATGGGCAGTGCACAATGTGGAGGATGGGGTGAAGGGTCTGTGTGACTCCAGGGCACCATGCCCCAGGAGACTATACTCAGGTCATCGGCACTCAGCAAAGAGCATGACATGGGGACAGCTGACCAGGCTTTGTGAGTGGCGTGGTGGCCAAGAGCCAAGCTACAAATCATGCCACATTGCCACGAATCTATGTGTGGTCTGCTTGCTCCAGCTGTCTCAGCTCAACCGGATCTATTGACGATTCACTAATCCAGCCAATAGCTGGGCAGCTGACCCACAAACTCATGCTGCCGAGCCCAAGGCGACACCCAGCCTGCTCCCAAGCCCTTGGATTAGTGGGTGTTAGTTCATCATTAAAGAGTCGCCTTCAGCATGATTTGCTTCGCCTGGGGGTGCCCTGGACAGCACAGCAGCAGGGACCCCGAATGTCTGCTTTTCTCTGTGGCATATCTCTTTCCTCGAGCTTCCTGGTTTAACCCACCTGTCCATGGCCATCTCAGCAAATTTTATTCTTTCAGTGTCCTGAATGGTAGCCCCAAAAAAGATTATGTCCAAATTGAAACCCCAAAAATCTGTGGAGGTGCCTTTACTGGGAAAAGAGGTCCCTGTAGGTGTGATGAAGGATCTTGAGATGAGGAGATCTTCCAGTGAGCTCTACATGCAATGACAGGTGTCTGTGTCTAAGAGAAAGAGGGTGTACAAGACAGACAGAACAGGTGGAGGCAACACCACCACAGAGGCAATGATTGGAGTGATACAGCCACAAACTGAGGAACAAGTGGGGCCAGCAGAAGCTGGAAGAGGCTAGGAAGGATGGCGCCTCCAGTGCCTTCAGAGGGTACCTGCTTCCACCTCAGTCTTGGACTTCTGGCCTCCAGAACCATGAGAGAATAAAGTTCTGTTGTTTTCAGCTGTGCAGCATGTGGGTAATTGGTGACAGGGAAGTAACTCACACACAGGCTGACTTTTTCTGACTGGAGCGTGAGTTGCTATTTGCAGGAGAATTTGTGATCTCATCCCTCAGGCCCACGAGCTGGTCGGGTCCTGTTCTGCCCTTGGCTGGAAAGGGAATCCCGAGGTTGCATCTGCTGCTTGGGTGTGGAGCTCAGGTCTGGAGCAAGATGAGAAATGGGCCTATTTATAAACGAGCAGAGCCAGAGGGCAGGCACAGGGTCGGCCGAGGGCTTCACCAAGGTCAGAGGCCCAGTCCCAGGGGTCAGGAGCCTTACAGAGAAAAGCAGTGCCCTGAGAGGAAGGCAGGGGCAGCACCGGAGCACTTGGGGCCTCTCTGGGCAGCGGGGCTGTGGTCTCTTTCTGAAAGGCCTAACGTAGGAATGTCCAGCTGGCTTCCAAGTCCTATCGGGTGTCTCGGGTGAAGTGCAGGCCCCAGTGGGTGGGAGTGGATTCTTTCCTGCTGCCTCACTGTGGCTCCGAGAAAGGAAGTGTGAGTGTCCAGGGTGGGCGCCCTGCACACAACCCTCAGCCCTTCCGTGGGAAGTTGAGCCTGCCGTCTTGGGGGCACGCTGTCACAGTGAGTGGGCCTCTGTGTGCCTGTGTTTCCTGCTATTTTGGCCAGGCCAGGTTGGAGGGACTTAGTGGGTGTTGTCTCAGCCTCAGGCCATCACACAGAGTGCAGGCAGGAAGCTGTGCACAATGCAAGGGGTGCCGGGGGACAGGGATCCTACTGATGAGCAGCTGAGTTGGACCAGGTCCATCTTCAGCCTGTCCAGTGCTGGGCACAGCTGGGTGAGAGGAAATCTGGCACATGGGATGGCTTACTCAGTGCCTCCCACAGCTCGGTGCCAGGAGGCGCCTGTCCTCTGCACCAGGGGCCTGGGAGCTGGCAGAAGCCTTTCTGCAGGGCAGGAGTGGCAGCTGGCCCAGCTACCAGCGAGGAGCCCTGGACTCCTTCACATCAGTGAAAATATCACATGCGTGCTTCTGAGTCTTATGGGCCTTCAAGCGCCTCTACCTGAAGGAGTACATCTCTGACTGAGTAGCTTTAGCAGGAAGAAGAATGGTTGTAATCTTTTACCTGCTCAGGCCTAGAAGGGACAGCTTTAGTAAGTCTGGAATCCCAGCTCCATGCCCTCCTTAGCTGCGTGACCTTGGGCAAGTCACTCAACCTCATTCAGTCTTGTTTCTCATCTGTAAAATGGGGATGACAGGCCTACTTAGTTGAGCTGCTAGGAAGGTTAGAGACAATAAAGGTGACTGCAGCTCTCATCCCCAATGAAGAATGTCTTTGGACATCTTTCCTTTCCAATTTTTCTCCTTGAGGAAGTCTACCATGGCTGCAGGAGCCCAGTTCACACTAGCCATGGGCCTGGTCCCAAGGATTGCTCAGCCCCGGCACCGTGTGCTCCACAGCAGTGCTGGGCCCTGTCTGCCAGAGAGGCTCATGGGGACGTTCATGCAGCCCATGTGGAGCTCGCAGAGCTGGGCACCTGCAGCCCACAGATGCCCCTCCTGACTCTGGGCTCTGGCCCAGCTGGTCATGGTCAGGGGGCTGGAATTCCAAGCCGGAAACCAAACCTTTGTCTTCTTGCCAAGCCTTATCTTTCCTGCAGAATTCGGGTCATGAGCTTCTCAAGGTTAAACTTCTGGCCCAAGCAGGCACAGAACTTGCACTTGGTAGGGAGATGGAGGAAAAAGGACTGACCAGCCCCACAGAGCTGCAGGTGCTGCCACATGCTTCTTACGTGACCTTCGACAACTCATTTATTCCTCTCAGTTTCTTCATCATTCAAAAGGCTATAATTATATCCAAGTTTTGAGTGACTGTTGGTTGATCTGTAATCCCTTGGCCTGGTTCCCACCATGCAGTAGGTCCCCAGTTAACCTTCAGCTTCTCCCTCCTCTCACCCCCAGCCCCACTAGGCATAAGCACAGGAGTGTGGCTCAGGGTCCAGACCAGGGAGCCACCTTAGGGAGGGCTGGAGACCCAGAGCTCCAAGGAAGCATGAGGGGCTTTACCTTCCTTCCTGGGGACTCGCATCTCAGCAGGGGCTCCCCTGAGGGTCTCACCCACAGAGGGAGAGGAAGGAGGGCATCGGAGTGAGTCAGATGCCAACTTGGTCTCCCTGGGGCCCAGGGCAGATGCCATCTCCTCTGCCAGGACTGCACTTTGCATCCCACTGAGCAGAACTGAACTTGATTCTCCTTCTGAACATGCTTCCACCTGCACACACATGCACACGCACATGCACACACATTTACACACACGCACAACCCATCCACCTCCCCACTTCTCCCAGGCATCCAGGCCAGCCGTCCTCTGCCTGCATCATATCCACTTGATTCCCTCTGAGGTCTCTGTCTCTGCTACTTCAGGGAAGGCCCTCTCTGTACCCACCACGCTCTTACAACAGTGTCCCCCAACTCTGCCCATGGTCCCCCTAGACCTACCTCCCACTTGGCAGTGAGTCTCCTTGATGGGAAGCTCTGAGAACTGCTGCTCCCGACCTCAGAGCCAGGGCACCTGTGCAGACTTGAACACTGACCCTCAGCCTGCAGGAAAGGAGGGGCCCCGAGAATGTTGAAGGGTCCTCATACAACCTGGAGACTGGAGACACAGACACCACTCCCTCACGCTCAAACACGAGGCATTCCTCCACTGCCAGCCTGGTGGATGCCTATCCCAGGACCAGCTCCCTCTAGGAACTAGGAGGTCAGCATTCCACACACCCATCACCAACACTGGGCCAGGAATAAAATCCCCCAACACACACATACTTACCTACTCAAGTGTGCACTCAGCCCCTCCCACAGGTCTATGCTGAGAGGTGTTTGTCTACTGCACCAGGGGCCTCACGGACTCACACACACACACTCACACATATGTGCACACACTCACACTCTAACATGCTCAGATACAGCTCCACAGTAGGACAGGCGAAAGGTAGAAGGGAGGGCACATGTCCCCCAGGTGTCAGCCCAGAGGGAGACCCTCCACCTTCATGAATGGCTGGCCACAGAGCTTCCCATGCACATATGTGAATAGCCACCACCTTCAGCCTAATCTCCACTGACTTTTCAAGATGTTCTTAGGACATGCTCTTCCCAGGCCCTCCACAGGCACGACCCTGCCAGGCAGCCAGGAAAGAGAGAGTGGAAGAAAACCCTGCAGGAGGGTTTAAGCAGCCTGTGTGCCCATTCTGTCTCATCCAACTGAGGCAGAGTGCACAGCCAGGGCCATACCAGATGGCTGAGACATGGGCAAGGCGCTGCAGCTTGGCACTGGCCTTGAGGCATTGCCATCCTCCCCAGCCAATCCATAGGCCTGAATGCTGCTCAGCCCAGGTAGGAACCTGTGCCAGGCCATCCTTGAGGTCCATGGTGGCTTCCAGAATGCTCTCAGCCCCTGATAACTGGGGATGTACACAGGCATGAGACTGGACAGGAAGGGAGTGTTCTGGCACTTCCAGAACACCCACTCTGAGCTAGTCCCTTGTCCCCACCAGCAGTTCTCCCAGGAGAACCAGCATCAACCAGCACCTGGCTAGAGATGCAAATTTTCAGGCCCTGTCCCAGAACCTGATCCATCACACACTGGGGTGTGGCCAGCAACGGGTGATTCAACAAGCCCCTTCCCTCATGACTCTGACGCTGAGCAAGGTTGAGAGCTGGAGCCTGTCCACACTATCACCCCAGGCCCTCCGCCCAGCGTTTATATTCATAACTGAACTTTCCCACCTTCTGTGGGCTCCAGGGCCCCACGGTGCTGCTGCTGGGGTGCCGAGCTCCTGGGGTCAAGCTGGCTCCCGTGTCGTATTCATATTCCTGACTATGATACTTGGAAGGGGTAGAGGCCAGACCTGGGTACTGGTGTGCACAGCCAAACATCAAAGTGAGCTGAGAAGAACCTGGGGGTTACAGCATGAATACTCGGACCCATGGTAGGAAATTGGAGCAAAGCAGCCAGCCAGACCCTCTTGTATCTACCCTGGGAAATCCCACAAACTGTCCATCAAATGTACAGAACAGTGGACATAGCACAGAGAAGCTGGCAGGCTACTCCAGCGCTGCTGTTCCCTGGTCTTCCCTGGAGCCTCTCAGCACCTCTGGCCACAGAGTGGGGCCAAGTGCCCAGGTCAGGGTGCTGTGGAAGTTGTATCCATGAACTCTGTGAGGAGGCAGGGAAGATCTGCCCAGGCATCTCCTGGGGAAAGGAGAGAGGCTCAGAAGCGGGCAAGGTGAGGCTGGAGGATGTGGTCTGGATCCAGGCTGCGCCATTGATACCTCAGCGTCTGCTGGGGTGAGTGCTGGGTTGGGAAGGCAGGAATCCTGGAGGAGCTCATCCCTGCTGTACTGTGAGTGCCTCCACCCTGTTAGAATTGAGGCTAAAGCCAGGGCACCCACAGGAAGATGGGGAGATGGCAGCTGACTGGGCAAGTGGACAGGCAGGCCCAGCTTTCCTGGCACAAATGGCTCTGAGGCTGAGGTCTGTAGGCCCTGCCTCCAAGGGTGACCAGGACTGGGAAGTAGAGGTGGGACACAGCCAGTGCTATCTAAGAAGGAGTGCCTTAAACAAAAATGTTAAACATGACTCCCATGCGTGTCAGATGTTCAGACAAATTAAATGTGCTTAAATCCTTGGGATGCTGCACTAAGAGCGGCACTCTCCTGGCAATGATGGGTTGAACTACGACCCCCAAGTACCTGGCACCTGTGCACTTGAACTTACCTGGGAAAAGGGTGTTTGCAGACATCATTCCACCAAGAATCTTGAGATGAGGAGATCATAATTATCCAGGAGGGCAGTAAATGCAATGGCAACACACCCTTATAAGAACAGGCATGCAAAAAAGAGAGGGAGGCCTGGAGAGATGAAGTCAGGTGAAGATGGGGACAGAGATTGGGGCAATGAAGCAGCAGCCGAGGAAGCCACTAGAAGCTGGAAGAGGCAGGAAAGGACCCTCCCCTGGAGCCTTAAAGGGAGCACGGTCCTGCCAACACCTTGAGTTCAGACTTCTGGCCTCAGAACCACGAGGAGTAAGCTTCTGTTGTTCTGAGCCACCTGACTTGTGGTAATTTGTTACAGAAGCCACGGGAAACTCATACAACAGCCTGCAAAGTGGGCTATTAATACGCACCTCTTACTGTTGTGGGAGGAGTTTTTAAGTGTTCATAAAAGAAAAACCCTAAAGATCCGATCACCAGAGACAGGTATAGATCATCTGCACGTTGACACAAAGGAGTAGCATCCAGCCATACAGGGAAAAAGTCTGTGGACGGTAGTCAGTGACCAGGCAAGTGTGCACGTTCTAGTATCACGTGGGAAAACAGAATATCAGAATATAAAATTGCAAATGTCTCAGAACCGAATTTTGTTTTTTAAAAGTATGTGAAAAAGGGAATAAATAACACCGACTACCACTGGGCAATATGATACCATGTTCTTTACTTTGTTGTTATTTTTTCCCAAATTCTTCTCAGTGAATATGTCACTTCTATTTTGGGGAAAAAAAAAAAAAGGAGCTGTTCTAAAATGATTTCTTCCTGCAAATATCACATAATCATGCAAGAGTCACTGCAAGCCCACCTTCTTTCCACGTGCAATCTCATGACAGCCTTAAAACAGCCCCACGAGGAGGCCCTGCCGTTATTCCATTCTGTAGGTGAGAAGCCCAGGCTTTGTGAGGAACTTGTCCAAATACAGAGCCAGCCTGTGGCCCAGCCTGGGGGCAAATGCAGCCCATGTGAGGGAAGCCACATCCCTCATCCCAAAGACAGGGGCTGCTGCTCAAGCCAGACACTGGCTGCCACCACCAGCCTCCCTCTTCCCTGACCACACCCAGGGCCTGGCTGTGCCCATCAAGTCAGACAGCAGGTAAAAGTCTCAAGGGCCCTCTAGGCAGAGATAAATTATGGAGAGCAAGATCCAGAGATTCTGATTTCCTGTGTTTAAATGGAAAGAAGGATAAATCACTTCTGCTAACTGTTTTTACCTGGCTGTGGGAAATGATGCATCGCCATCTTTTAAAAGAAAATTAAGCCTTTAATTCCATGGCACATGTAATAAAATGGCACTTCAGCTCTCTGCACTGAATATATGGCCCATCCTGTCCTAATTTACTATTTCGAAGCAGCCTGAAATGTTCTGAAGTTATTAATGTGGCAATATATTCAAGTACAAAACCCAGTCTTCAAAGGCTGTTGAAGCACTCAATTAACACAATGGGCTGCTGTGTGGGAGCCAAGGGGGGCAAATGGCAGGAGGCACCATCCTGGGAGCTGGGTGTATGGCTCACCCTGCCACTGAGTGGCAGCCCTCCTGTCCTGCAGAAACTTCCAAATGGGCTCAAAGATACCCCTGGGGTCTCCAGGGTCAGGGACTCCAGCTCTGCTGTGGGTCTCCTCAGAAGAGGGGGCCGTGCAATGCCGTCCACCCACCCCATGCCTTCTCCAGGGCAAATCTCACCTCCTGTTTAAGGGACAGGATTTAGGGTAGTTAATTTAGCTTCTAGCAACTCACAGGGGAATTACAAACCTATGTTTGAGGGGGAAAGCACGTGTCAAATTCTCAATTATGGACCTGATCCCATAGTAATGGAAGTGAGCAAAGACCCTGAAGCTGGTGACCTGAGGTGAGGACAATGGCCACTGCTGAGACTGATTTTCCAAAGGAGCCAGGATGCCCAGGCTACTGGCCAGGTGAACTCAAGCAAATTATTAGACAATAATAGTACCTCGCTCATAGGATTACCGTGATGAATAAAAAGGGTCAGAACGTGACAATCACTCGGGCTGTACCTGGCACATGAGCCCAGTCACTGCATGTTAGCTGTGGAATGCACCAGCTTCTCAAAATTTCACCAGACCATAAGTGACACCCCCACATTCACAGAGAAAGTTAGGGTTCAGCACTAGGCAGCTCACTCAAGCTCCTCTTCCTTATGTCTCACAGGCGAGCCTTCAGCAATAATACATCCTCATTGAGAAGAACTGGAAAAACAGTTATAACAACAAATTCTAGCCCAAATGACCACTTCTCTGCCCTCCCTGAGCCTCGGGGGCACCTTTCCTTTCATCAGGCCCCTTCAGTGGCTTACTTTCTGACTGACTATCCTGCCAAGTCTCATCCTACAACAGCTTGCTTTCCATCCAGGGAAGTCTCTAAAATGTGTAGTAGGTCATATTGGCCCCTGATTGGAGCCACCATTGGCATCCTGTAACTGAATGAAATGCACATCCCATGCCCTTGCCTTTGAGGCTTCACGTGGCCTGGCCCTGTCTGCTCTCTACTCTCCTCTGGAATTCCCTGCTTCAGCCTCCAGCATAAATGCAAGAAAGCAAGGACCCTGTCTGTCTTGTGCACTGCTGTATCATCTCTCATTGCCTGGCTCATGGTGATTACAAAACAAATGCTTCTAGAATAAATGGATAATTCAAATCCATGTGAACTAACTGCACTGCACTCCACCACTGGATGGAGGGAATGAATGCCAATAAAAATAAATCACTTCGACTCTACTCCTTTTAGTCCCTCCCTCTAACCTGGGAGCCAGTGTGCCCAGAAGAGTGAAGAAGTTTGCAAACAGCCAGGCTGTATCTCCAAGGCCCAGGGTGGCCTGAGAGGGTCCACTGCATCAGCTGCACAGACTGTGGGCTACACAAATCCAGGGGGTGCGATTGGCCCAGAACATTCCTGGAGTTTCAGATGGAGCAGTAAAGTACAGTAGTCCTGGATCCCCCAACCTGCTCTATCCGGGAACGCCCCAGCTAAGCCCCCTTCCTCAGCCATGCCCAGACTCAGCTGTGCATCTCTGCCTTGACTGGTTTCTTCCCTGAGAATTCTCAACCAATAAACCAAGGAACACCACAAGCAATCATCACTTAGAGAGGACATAGATGGAAAGAGGGAGGCTGCGATACCATTAAACATGCTTTCAGTCCCATCTACATTGGCTGTGCGCCCCAAACTCACCATTTTTCTGAGCCGCGAGCTCCGAGAACATAGAGATCTCAGCATATTTGGCTGCACTGAACCGGATCTCCGCATGGCAGGGCTGATCATAAAGTGCATGCCTTGTGTCAGGCTCGACACACACAGATTCCACCAGCATGGGGCTCTGCAGTTCACCCAGAGTGGGCATGGCCTCACTTCCCTTTATGTACTATAACGGCCAGCGTGAAGCTACCACTACTCCTTCCTGCAGATGAGGCCGCCGGTGGCCCAGAGAGTTTCAGTGGCTGCCCAAGATCCCATGCTGCTGGTGGTAAGACAATGACAATGCTGGCCCTGCTGATGGGCCGGACAGCTCCCAGTGGCCGCAGGGTGACCCTGAGGCTCGTGAGGCAAGGGAGTCAGAGACTTTGATCTTCAGGACTCAGCCACCTGCCAGTCTCAGAAACCAGCACTCTCTTCATCACCACTCCACTCCCCATCTGCCTTCCAGGCACTCTGTGGAGTCTATCCCTGAGCCTAAAACTGGAGTGGAGAGGAGGTGGGATTCCTCTAGAAAACAAAAGCCCCATCCCATAACTGAGGTTGGCTGTCAAGCTGAAGCCTGAAACTAAGTCCAAAAACCTGGGACAGTGTTGCTGACAGCCCCGATGACAGCCGAGCTGGGAGCCTGGCTATATTTACCCACTTGCTTGACCTAAGATGCTATCTATCAGCAGCAGAACCACAGCACTAGGGAGCAGGAGGGGGTGGCAGAGAGCCACTGCCCTCACCCCCATGCCGCCCCAGCTGTGCAGCCTCCGCTGGCTGCTCTGGGCACGTTTCCATTTTCTGAACACATTCTTGCTTCCAGTGTTGGGGGAGAGGGTTGTAATTTGCTTCGTGTTTTTGACCTGAAATAGGCAGCACAGCAACCTTCTTAGGAGGCAGAAGCTAAAATCAATCAGCTTTGCTTGCAGCAGGAGGAATTTGAGCACAAGGGGATTAAGAAACACACTGGCTGTGGGTGGCAAAGCCGGTTTTCCTTCAGCATCGCTCAGTAATTACAGCACTACCAGGGAGTCTGTGCGCATTGGCATTTACAGAGTTCTTTTTTGGCAAGGGAACTTGGGCTGTTCAGCAGGATGGACCCAATTTCTAGATAATGATGTCTCCCGCCTCAGGATTTTGGGAGAAATTAAATGAAACAGAACAGAAGCATGCAGCACAATAAACACCATGACTTTTTCCTACACTTCCCTCCATCCTCCTAATCCTATGGGTTATTAGTTTTTGTCAATTTATCCCCATTCTACAGAAGAAACTAAAAGCAACACTCCAAGAAGGAGTTTCCTAAGTTCTTAGCCAGGACTGCAGTAATATTTATTACAGACTCATCAGTGTTTCCCATCTCTGGGGTTGACTTGTGCTAAGTGATTCAAGAAGATCAAGGTGGGGAGGCCCTAATTTTCCAGAAGCAATCTTACCTCTGCTGTTGGAAGTGTTACGAAATTGGCCTGAGACTGCTCCTGTCAGCAGCCCCGCATGAGGCTGCTGAAAGCACTTTTAGCACCTGATTAAAAAGGATGCTTTATTTTCCTGAGCGACTACCAGACTGCATCTCATGATCTCATCCCAAAGACAAGAAGGAAGAATGATGGAAGGCTCAGTGCCTGTCACTTTCCCAGATTTGGGGCCCCATCCGAGCTGGAAAGGAAGACACAGCTGTCCCCCAGCCCCCACCATGACAACTCCTGCTTGCTGCAGAGCTTCCAACACACAGAGACCTCAGGACGTGGCACATGCAGGCGGGCCACCCAGTGCTTTTTAGCTCAAGCATCTGTGTGTAGACTGTGACCTGGCTGCTGGGGGACTTGGAAACAAAGCAAAGGAACGAAAAGAGCTAGCCTGACTTGCAGTGCTCCTGTGGGGATGTCATCCTTTCATTTCCCCAAACAGCTCTGCTTGGGAGCTTTTTAGCCTCACAGTATATCAAAGAAACAGAGACTTAGAAGATAACCTCTTGCCCACAGCCATATGGCCAGGAGTGCAGCAGAGAAGGGATTCAAACCTAGGACTATGACCCAAGCAGCACCCCGCATTACACATGGCAGCCACAGAGCACCCTATGCTGCCTTCTAAGAGAAGCTCAGCGTCTGTGTCCACCCGGCCTTCTTCCCTTTGGTCTCCCTATCAGCAACCAAGAACCCAGGAAGGGCGCTGTGCCCTGACAGTGACTAAAAAGACCACTGCCCCCAATCCACATGCTAGGTGCTCACCAGGCACCCGACTCGGCTCTCCACATCTGGCCTCTGACATCACCAGGGGTGTCTCTGTGGGCATGAGGCTCTGTACTAGCAAGGACTGGTAACATGAAAATACCTAATGCTGCCAAAGGTGTGCTCAGACAGGAGGACTTACTCATGGCTGGTAGTGGAAAGCGATTTTGCAATATGTATGCATAGAGAGCTTAATAATGTGCATCTCTTTGACTCACTAATTACATATCTACAAATACATCTGAAGGTAATAAGGCTAAATAAGTTTTACCTACAAACATCTTCATCATGACATCTTGTAAGGAGTCACATAACATCAAAATCCCATCATATAAATATTAAGCCATTTAAAAATAGCATTTCAGAGGAATTCATAGTAACATGATCATGCTTTTATTGCAAAGTTTCATGAAAAAAAAAGGTTATGAAATTATCCAGATCATAACTATAAGAGAAAAGGAGTAAAAAAAATAAATGAACTGCATTTGAATGGCCTACAGGACTCTGTGTGGAGTTTTTGTTTGGTTTTTTTTTTTTTATCAGTAAACTTTATTTTTAGAGTAGTTTTAGGTTCACAGAAAAATTGAGCAGAGGGTTCAGGGATATCCCCATCACACCCCTGCCCCACACACATGCATAGCCTTCCCCATTAGCAACATCCCTGGGTGTGGTTTTTTCCCCCACTTTCCTGTTTTCCCCCAAAATTGCCTATGATGAGAAAAATACATTTTATCAGGAAAGAAGGAAGAACAGAAGGGAGAACGGAAATGCAAGAAGAGGACTCTTTCAACTCAGAGTAAGACATAGACAGGTTCCCGGCCCATTTAACTTGCCAGTACACGTTTTTATTTCACCAGCTGTTGGAATTCCTCACCATTTTAAGTGTGTGACCCAAGTACATTCCCCCAGTGAGGGCAGGCCATGGCAATGCTTTCCCAACACCCCAAACCTCCTGAAACCGCCAAATTCCAGCCCACCTCCTAGGGAAACCTCCTGGCTCCCTCTCTGGCTCCTTGTACCTTAGGCAAGCTCTCCCTTAGATGCAGAACCCCTCCCACCTGCAGCCGCAGCCACAGAAGAGGGCCTTGCCTCAGTGCCCAGGCCGGCAGGGTCCCTGGTAATGGGGACAACACAACCTGCAGGGTCAGCCAGGGCCAGCAGGGGGCAGTGTGCTGAGCCTGGTTGGGGGCCACCTGTGCCTATGCCTCTCAGGCTGCCCAATACCCAGAATCCAGGGGGTGTAGGAACACTGTCAGGATGAGTGGCTGGGTCCGCAGGCTATGTTCAGCACTCTTAGGAGCTTTAAACTAGAGAATGAGTTTTTCTGGGCAGCGATGGTGGAGTTCGCATGCATTAGAACACCCCAGAGGAAGAGTGGCCGACATCCACCAGCTTTGGTCTCTTGTAGGTCATTCTAAGGGCCAGTCCCACCCAACTGTGCTGCAGAGAAAAGACACCAGGCTTGCCCTCCCCCTCCAGGTCTCCTTGGATGGTACTCCTTCCCCTCAGGGCCTCGGTCTCCCTGGGTATGGAGTCACAAGTTGTGATGACCTCCCAGAGGCATCCATGAACCTGCCTATGACACCATCTGAGTCCCTTGCGTATATGATGAACTCTCAGTACTGAAGCATTTTCAAAATACGGGACATTTTAGTGGACATATTTATTTTTTATGGCATGCATAATGACATCTACAGAGAATTCAGGGTAAAGGCCTTAGAAAATTAAGCCCCGAAAGAAGAAATCAGCTTTATATCTTTTTGGTAAGATGACAATGAAAAGTGTAACCCACAAAACTGCCCATACCACGCACGTGCACACACATACTCTGTCAGACACACATGCACACTCACATTCACACATGCACACACTCACACACACCTGTGAGCATTTCCCTTATCACCACTGCTGCTCAATGACTGAATTGTAAGGGCACATGGAAAATTTTTAAGAATGGGATGACCCAACAGAATTTTAAAAGGACAAGACGATGGTTGGGTCTGAATTAGGAGGAAATGACCCTGGGAAAATGGAGACAACAAGCTTTGTGTTGTGACTTAAACTAGATCTAAGACAGAGCCATCTTCACCCTTCTGTGGAGGACACACTGAGAGGTAGTAGTGATGACTTTGGGTCCAGTGGGCTCACTGGAGGCAAAGAAGCCTCCTGCCACTGCTGTGCATCGCTTAACCTTCTGCCTAGACCCAGAGAGGCAGGATATGTGCAAAAAAAAAAAAAAAAAAAACCCTCTTTCAAGGATCACAAACAACAAATCACTCTCTTAACTGAGCCACCAACCTCAGATCAAGTATGGAGCTAAAGGTTCCCTACACATTGTCAATGCTTAATATAACACAAAAATGCCAGGGCCATGTGATGCCTACTTCCTAGACAAGACAACTGAGGTGCAGGGTGGATAAATAACTTGCCCACACCCACACAGCTAGTAAGAGACCCAACTGGAATGCAAAGCCAGATGCCAGCTCTCTTCTCTGACTGCCTCTCTGTCCCGCCATCTGGAAGGGTGGGGAGGGAGTGCGGGGTGGCCAGCATTCCTTGGAGGAGGTGGAAAACATTCCCTGAGGTCACAGCTCTGCTTTAAGTCTTGCTCTCTTTCAAGCCCAGCCGCTCTGGAGGTTTCTTCTCTACTCCAGGCAGGTCCGGCATTTCAACAGCAATGGCTATTAAAATAGTTCCTCAAGGGTGTGGCCTGGGTTTAGTGGCTTTATCTTGCTCTAAATTACAACAATGGTCAATGGCAGTCTTGTTTTCTGGTAGGTGTCGTTCTACCTGATACCCATCGTGGTGGTGACATGACATCTATGTCTGGCCTGCCTAGGGAGGCCATCCTTTAAGAATTCTCCCTCTTTGGTGTAATTGAGACTCTTACACCCTAGTTAATGGGGGTTTTGTTTGAGGGGGAGGGATGTTCTAGGTTGGGGGTTGTTGATGTTTATTGGCCAAATTTCATTTATGTGAAAGGTATACCTGTAAGGTATATGTGTCATTACTTCCATTCTTGGCTCCTCACATCCTTGTGGTGAAGTTAGAACGAGGGATCAGACCCTTCTAGACCCCCTGGCTCCAGGCCCTTATTTTTACAGACCCTTGTGATATCCAGGGAAGGGGCTCATGAGGCATCTGATCTGGGGTCTGGACTCAGGCCTGGGTTCCAGCTCTGTCTCCCATTGGCTGTCTGACTCTGGACAAGCCATGGGGTGCCCTGGACCCAGTCTCCCCACCTGTGGAGTGTGAGGGTGGCAGGAGGCAATGTGTGGAAATGTTCTGTGAAGACCAAAGGTTGTAGAGAACCCTCTGGCTGGTAAAAGCAGAGCTTTCCGGGCCCTCCCCCAGAGTCACTGATGCAGTAGAGCCCAAGAATCTGCATTTCTAAAAGCTGCAAGACATTGATGCTGTCAGCCTGGGGCCCACACTGAGAGAACCTCTTGGAACATCTTAGAACGTAGAACTTAGAGAACTTCTGGGGAAGAGTGAAGTCCCATGCGGTGAGAGGCACTTGTTACGGGGATGCAGGGCAGTGGGTCACCACCCA